TTCTAATGTTTCTGAGGCTGGACGGTTTCATTCCTTAGTTTCTTCCTTTTTTTCTAATTTAAGTTGCTGTTTGACTGTTTGACTATCAGTATGTTTTTCAGAAATGAATGGCCTATTTAACGGAACTTCAGTTAAAAAGCTGCTAGGTTGGAGGATTGGCGAAGAGGAAGAGAAGTTTGCTGAGAAAGCTGTGGAAACTCTTGTAAAAAAGTTAAAGAAGAAGAATGGTGGTATTGGTCAGTGAAAATCAGTTAGTTCACTGCAAGTTTGAGATTGAAAATGAGTGAATTTGAAATTTTTATATTTCAGGCACTCTAGAAGATCTAGAGTACGCCTTAGCCCATCCAGGGTCACATTCCAAATGTGTTGCGCTGCCAAAGAGCCAAGATGGTCGCCTTCAGGTAATCGTATTCATGGGTTTAATTTCTCTTTTAGAACAAAGAGAGTTTAATGCTCAGGTATCGCACAGAAAGGGATTACCACACGTGATTTACTGCCGGGTATGGCGTTGGCCTGATCTGCAGTCTCATCAAGAGTTGAGACCTATTCCTGAATGCCTCTACCCCCATGATCACAATAACAAAACTCCGTATGTGTGCATCAATCCGTATCACTATCAGAGATTGGATCAGTCACGGGTAAACCATAAAAATCTTTTCCCAACTCTTTTTGCCCATGTCAAGTTTTCATCTTTCAGAACGCACACTTCAGCTACTCTCCACCGATTCCATCACCTACTGGTACAACTTTTCCAAGACGTACAATTGTAGCTCAGATACTTTCTTCAGTGTCGACAGCAGGCTCATCCCCATCCTGTTCCGCTCGCATGGACATGGCGTCACCCTCGAATATCCCGTCATCTTCAAGCTCCCCCGAGTACGACATGGCTTTCAGTCCCTCGTCAATGCTATCTGAGGAAGATGTCAATCGAATGGATCAGGTGGTTATCGGTTTTGATTTTTTATTCCTTTACCATGCACTTTACCCTTTACTTCAGGTCAGTCCCTACACATCTCCGCCTACCCAGTATTGGGCCACTATATCGTACTACGAACTGAACAGCAGAGTCGGCGAATATTTTAAGGTGAAACTATTGAACTGGCTTTTTAAT